TAAACCCCAAATGTGGGATGTTGTACAGGACAAATGACCTTGTCAATTAATACCAGTAATTAAGATAATAGTATAATTATGATGATAATATAATTAATTGGAGCCTGGAGGAAAAAAAAGAAAGTGGAACTGAACTATTACAGAATAAACGAGCTTAAAAGATGCCATTGAATTGAATGCGTGGAACTTATTTGGATCATGACACAACAAACCAGCTTAAACGAGGCATTTGAGAGATAGGTGGGGGAAATTGGAATATAAACCGGGTATTAGATGAAAACTGGGAGTTATCGATACTTTTGGTAGGGAGCAGTAACGGCTGGTGGGTAAAATGTCCTAACCTTTAGAGATGCAAACGGAAGTATTTACAGTAAATTGCCCCTATGTCTGGTATTCACTTTGTAAATTCTCCGTGAAAAAAAATTCAAGGACAGGTGAAACACAAGTGGCAACTGTTAGTAATGGTTGAAGCTGGGTGATGAATGCCACAGGAGTATGATGATTTTCTTTTGCATGTGTTTGTAGTTTTCTGCGATACAATTTATTTTATTTTATATATATATTTTTTGAGACAGAGTCTCATTCTGTTGCCCAGGCCGGAGTGCAGTGGCGCGATCTCGGCTCACTGCAAACTCTGCCTCCTGGTTCAAGTGATTCTCATGCCTCAGCCTCCCTAACAGCTGGCACTACAGGTGTATGCTACCACGCTTGGCTAATTTTTTGTCTTTTTGGTAGAGATGGGGTTTCACCATGTTGCCTAGGCTGATCTCGAACTCCTGAGTTCAAGCAGTCTGGCGTCGTCAGCCTCCCATAGTGCTAGGATTACAGGCATGAGCCACCACAGCCAGCCTTTCTGCAATAAAATTTAAAACAGTGTCTCGGCCGGGCCTGGTGGCTCACTCCTGTCATCCTGGCACTTTGGGAGGCCGAGGCAGGTGGATCATCAGAGGTCAGGAATTCGAGACCAGCCTGGCCAACATGGTGAAACCCCATTTCTACTAAAAAACAAAACAAAACAAAACAAAAAAAATTATCTGGGCATGGTGGCAGGCACCTGTAATCCCAGCTACTGGGGAGGCTGAGGCAGGAGAATCGCTTGAACCCAGGAGGCGGAGGTTGCAGTCAGCTGAGATCTCAGCACTGCACTCCAGCCTGGATGACAGCAAGACTCTATCTCAAAAAACAAACAAACAAAACCAAAACAGTATCTCATGTTTCTTATTGGCTGTGACCAAGTAACTTCATTGCTTTCAACCTTGATCTGCTCACCTGTAAAACTGAGACCTTATTATTTGTTGTGAGATTTAAAAGAGAAACATGTTCATTTCCTTCCTCTTTGGGGCTCAGAAGCAATCCGATGGGCGTCTTGCAGCTCCGAGCCTGATGAAGAATTGTAGCTGCTGTGCCTCAAGACAGATAAGCACAGGTCGTCCCAGTGGGGATGCCACCTTGGGGACTGTGAACCTCCGCTGAGGCCAGGCCATGCCCTGTGTCTGTATCCGGAACTGCGGGATTTCTCTGATCCGCCAGGGAAAGGCCTGCCACCTCGTGGCCGCTTCAGGAACTGCTCCAAAGGCAGTCTGCTCTTGGGAACCTACCTGCTTAGGTAGCTCGCTGAGGTCTGGAACTGCAGCACACTGCAAGTTATCTTCACGTGGAGGTGAAGCTGCCTGTATGGAAGACTCTTGGATCAGTCGTCTGAGCACATGTCCAGCAATGGGCATGAGTGGCCTAGCCAGGGACTTGGGGTGCCGGAAGAGCCGACTGTACAGCACGTGGTGCCCCTAGCAAGGACTGGGTGGTGTTTAAAAAGAAAAAAAGGTCGTGCAGATGGTCTGACAGCCTGTCGACCGTGGGCGTGGTGCTCATAGCAGCTGGGCACTGCCGGGGTACCAGGCTGTGTGCTGGGTGCTTCAAAGATGTCCTCTTGTGGATCAGCCCATCTGTGGCGAGGAGGGGACCGGGCTCAGCCAGGTTAGATGTGACTTGCACAAGGTCATGTGGGTGAAAGGAAGGCAGAACTCTTGTGTATTTCTCCTGACTGATCCCAGATTTTGCCTCAGGACTGAAGACAGAACCCACATGTGTCCAGCACTGGGTGATTGCTGCCATGAGCTGCATAGCTGTGATCCCTCGGTGAGGGCATGGATTTTCATCCTTGTATTCAACTTTGAAAGAAGCAAATTTAGAAAGATACGAATATGATGGGCGTGGCAGGCAGAATTTTAAAGGTGGGCCCACTGACTCGTACCCCTGGCTGTTCAGTTAAACACTAGCCTAGATGCTGCTGTGCAGGGACTTTGACGAAGGAATGAAAGTCCCAAGTCATCTGACTTTGAGATCAGAGATGATCTGGTGGGCTTGACCTCCTGAGCTTAATGAAAGCAGGGAGCTTTTCCAGCTGTCAGCAGAGAGGAAGGTGTGAGAAAGACTGGAATTAACATTGCCGGTTTGAAGGAGGAAGGAGTTGTGTGAGAAGGTGTGTGGGTGACTTATAGGAGCAGGGAGTGGCTCCCAGCCATGGAATGAGGACCCCAGGCCTGCAGCCACCAGGAGCTGGACTTTCAGGGCCACCTGAATGCACCTGGAAGCAGATTCTCCCCCAGAGCCTCCAGGTAAGAGCTCATCCCTGCCACCACCTTGATTTAGACCTTGTAAGACCTGGAGTGGAGAACCCAGTTTAAATCACTTAAGCCATATGATAACCCTGTGGGGCAGGCATTACTTTTTTTCCCTCCCCATTTTATCTTTATTTTGGACTTTGGTACCCAGAATAGATTCATCATGAACCTTTGGTTCCCATTCTCACCTTCATGCCTGCCCTGTTCTTGGCCTGCTTCTGTTTGTTTCGTTGCTACAATCAACGTCCCTGGACCCATCACGCAGAAGAAGCCGAGGCTCCCAGGTTAAGAGACTTGCCTGGAAAAGCGTTAACTGACAGCTTGGCAGCAGAGCCACCGCTCCTTCCCCCTCGCGTGCTGGTTCCAAACCGAAAATGATGTTCTGGGTAAGAAAAATAGCAGCATAAGGGGCCACAGACGTTCGAGTTGAAATAATCAGAAATAACTTTCTGCAAAAAGAGCCAGACTTCACGAGAGGTAGTTTAATTGGGATAATGAGTTGCACGGGGAATGAGCAAATGCAAAGTTAATTAACAGTCATTTCCTTGAGACTAATCGAAGGAGAAAGACGGCCGTCTGGACCTTGTGGAACCCAGGTGTGACTCAGGTGCCTGCCGCTGGCATGGTCATTTCTTCCCTGTTGCAGCCAGGGCAGCCACAGAGGTGGGCGTGAGGGGGGCCTGGGCTGGCCTGAAGGACAGGGAAGGAAGGAGGAGGCAGACTTCATGGAGCTCGAGGAGATCTTAAAAGCCCATGGACGTGAGAGCTAAGTGGAATCAAAAGCTGATTAAGTCGTTCCTTAGAAGCCTACTGTGATTTGCGCCCTCCTGTGT